ATATATATATATATATATATATATATATATATATATATATATATATATATATATATATATATATATATATATATATATATATATATATATATATATATATATATATATATATATATATATATATATATGATATCTCTCCTACTATTACACAACTCTACACTAAGTAATCCAAGGAGGAATTCACATGATAATTTTGTCATCATTAATCATGAATACAACATTCAAGCATTTTATAGGACCATATATCATGCAACTAGAATTCATAAAATTCCATACTTACTACTAGAACTAAGGCATACAAGCATGATTTTACTTCACCAAATAATATAGCATTAAACTTTCTATCCAACACATCTAACCACACCCCAAATGGAGTTGCAAAACTCATTTTATGGTGATTAGAGGAGAAACAATTGATTGCCATGGGGAACAATCAATTGTTCTGAACAAAATTTTTCACTCGAAGCAACATGACAATCGATTGGTGTCATATGACAATCAATTATCATCTAGAACTGTAAAAAAAGCTCACTTATAAACTCATCTTCTTTAACTTTTAACCATTTCAAACCATATTTAATCATGTCACAACATACCCAAGCATTTCAAACTATGGATTCAACATCATATAAGGATATATAGACAACTATGTTTTCTTCAATTCTTAACTACGTGAATCTATAATCATGTCAACATAACTCGTGTAATGAATATATCACAACATCAAGAAACAATAATAACAACAACATAAACATAACATCAATACAACAACCATACAAGAATCAACACCACATAACTTCAAGATTTAGTAACAATAGCACAAGACATATCAAGAATCATATGTCAATCATCAATTTCATAAACAAGTAAGAATTTACCAAAATTTTAAACCCAGTTTCATGCCAAATCCCCTCTCAAGGCTATTATAACTAAGAATCCACATTAGTAGAGTCTTGAATTGAGCTTTTTAAGAGATGATGATAGTGATGATGTTTCTTCCATTTCCTTTAAGTGTTTCCTATTTTCTCTTAATCTTATTCTTCTTCATTCTCTTCTTTCCTTTCTATCTTTGGGAAATGAGAAGAATGAGAGAAAAAAGGAAATTGGTAATGATATATAGAAAAACATTTTGTCCTTTAGTGGTAGTAAATTAAACAATGTCCACTGTACCTTTGCCAAATCTCCCAAATTCCCAAAATTCAACTCCTTATTAATTATTAAATATTAAAAACTTGATTAAGAATTAATTTCTTCTTATAGTAAACTAACTACTCAATTTGAACCACTTAATAAAGAAATGAGTACTTAAGAGGATATGGGGTATTACAACTAGCTTGGGAGAAGGATTAACAGTGAGTCGATGGCACATCATTCTAATGTATATCCCGCACATGTCTTATGAGGGCCAAGCGAACAAATCGATGTTTCTAATAAGTTAGTTAAGTAGTTTGTATTCTTATTCCTAGATAAGAGAGGTGCCTATTTTTGTCACATGATGGGTTAAAGGGCATATCCTAACTTCATTCAAATCCTTTGTGGGAGTGGGTGTCTTCTTGTCCAAGACCGACATGGGATCCCAATAATCGATATTTGTATTTAGCGCCTCGGGGAGGAGTGTGCCCACAAGGATGGGCTATTCCTTTTCCATCGCTAGGCTGCTCTAATAGCACTATTGTGCATTTTCTCAGTTCCCTCAAACTGTCCACACTCGCCCATAAGGCAACGGGTATTTTAGGATCAGGTGCTGGGTGGAAATAACCGTCCATAAAGCATTGATGAGGGGGCATCCCAGGATGATATTGTAAAGATAATGGGTGTCTACTATGAGGTAGCTGATTTCAACCGCCTTGGCGTCTTTACCTGTGCTATAGGTTATATTTAGGGTTACCTAGCCCATTACTTGTAGTTTCCCACCTAACAATTCTATTTAAAAAAAACCCCGAAACGCTTTACTATCGCTAGGATCGAGTTGAAATTTGTGGGGAAGCGTCCTAAAATAAGAGGTCAGCAGAGCTCCCAACATCTATCAAGACTCGCTTTATATCCCAGTACTCGTGTTGCACAGTGATGACCATGGAGTCATTATCGTGAGGGATGACTCTGACGACATCACTGCTAGAAAAGGTGATGCTAATTCCTAATTCTTCCTTTTCCCCATTAGAAAAACCAGAGAATATTATGTTGTAGTCAGCATCTATCTAGCATATTTCCTCCGGAAGAAGTTTGAGCTTTCTTCACCGGCTAAACCATTAGTTATGTGTTAACTCTGGATTCTAGAATCTTGTTGGCCATTTTCGGGGGAAGATAGATAAGATGATGATAAAGGAGGTGTGGCCCAAGTTAGTTTTATCAGGATCCCACAATGAATGTCATTGTACTTGTCAAACAGTACAAGAGTGTATGGTATTCCTACGTAGATATGGGATACTCATAGGGCTTTATATTTAAGGGTGGTTAAGGCTTGCTCTCGGTGGTGAGAGATCCTATTTGGTGATGTTTACTGTGAAAGGATAGGGTTAGCTCACGTGAGGTGAGTGGATCTCTATATAAGTGTTGTGCTAAGGGTGTTATGATTTCTTTCTTTCTTTAAACGATAAGGTATTTATAAAGGCTTTTGGGTCTAAAGTTTTTTAGGGACTGATAATCACCTTAGTAGTTAATAGGGGACCATTGAATCCCTATTTCTTAAAAAGACGTGGATCAATCAGTTGACTCTGACTTTCCTCTAATCGACGAACACCTTCTCCCATGTTTCCTATGATTGGACAAGTATGGGCACCTAGGGTGAATTGTTTCATAATGATGGGCGACGTATAGATGTCGCCCCTGCAGAAGGTCACCACTTTCCCACCCTTATTGGGCCTTTCACAAATATATCACTATACCATTTTAATATTTCAAGTAGCTCAAGAAAAGATAAAGGTAAAGGAAATATGCCTTGAAGACCTTGAAGATCATGTAGTCTGTTTATTTTATCCATTGTGTATCTGATATGTAGTATTTGCATCGACGTCTGAGATATGTTTATGTACTTTGTATTGGATATTGTATTGTACATGTATTTAAATGTCATATATGCATTTTTTATTGTACTTGTTAAGAAATGTGGTTAGGCCTAACTCAACCCTACAAAACCGGTTGGTAGAGTGAGGATTACCCCCACTTATAAACACATGTTCATGCCATATATTGTCCGATGTGGGACTCTTAACACACCCCCTCACGCTCAGGACTGGACAACTGAAGCGTGGAAATAAATGGTGGGTGGCGCGATAGCGGAAACCATAGAAGGTGGCCCACCGGATCTTAAACGAGGCTCTGATACCATGTTAAGAAATGTGGTTGGGCCTAACTCAACCCTACAAAACCGGTTGGTAGAGTGAGGATTACCCCCACTTATAAACACATGTTCATGCCATATATTGTCCGATGTGGGACTCCTAACAGTACTCAATACAACAAATCAATGCTTTGAATAGTATGATTCTATACGTGTATTATTTGGGGTGTTACATGACCCATAAATGACTGGGTCAGTTTGGTTTGGTTTTGACAGTGAAATTACGGGTTAGACGATGAACACATCCCATTGAAGTCTGGACGAATTGGGTATTGGGTTAGGTCAAATCAAGTTCAATGCAACCCATATACACCCCTAGTCTTATATAAACAAAGAATTAATAGAATTCGATACTCAAAAATTGGTCTCTGAAAAATGATACTCTTATTTTAATAGTTTGATATAGTCGTACACTTGCACTATATCTCTCACTATTAGACAATAAGACAATGTCATTAATAACCATAACAATCACACACATAAACAAGAAGATATCATTGTTAATGGCCATTACGATCACACCTATACAAAATGATAAATAAAAAGGGCTTATGGCCATAAAGACGTCACTCAAACAAGAAGACAAATACATTAATTATCATAACAATCAAGATCATTAAAGACAAGAAGACAAATACATTAATTATCATAACAATCAAGATTATTAAAAATAGATCAAAGTATTTGGATATAAATAGATCATTAAAGAACAAAGAGAGAAACAATTCATTGACAAATTAGAGGAAAAAAATTCATTGACAAATCAAATACAACTAAAATTTCATTAATTTTATACCAGTAAATTTAGAACAATATATTTTTTGCAAGTACTTACGTAAAGTGGACAATTTAGATAAAAAATTAATTTTGTTAGTGATATTAAATAGATGATCCTATATCTTTTTAATTTAATTTGTGTAATTAAATAAAATTTTGTTTATGGTGGTAGGAAATGTTCAACATTAGTGAGCTGATCGCCTAACTATACATGCCAAAATTCATGAATTGATTAGTCGAGTTATAGTGTACGACAGTTGTCACATTCAACACGACCAGACAACAATAAGTGAACAACGTTTAGCCGAGTCCTCTTGGACATGTTCCAGATATGTCAAACAGTAGACACGGTTACGACGACTGATTAAAACTCAAAGAGACCCGCAAACTTGATGCGAACTAGTCAAGTAGTAGTTAACTTCACCGGGTAAGGTTGCTCCACCAAACATATCAAAAACCAAAAGAATAAAGCTAAAAGCCAAAGCAACATGGAAAACAACCTTTATCTTTTAGCAACCACTAGGTCCATGATTACGCAAGTAGGTGTTAAAAAAACATAGACAGAGAGGATGGACAAAATCATGAAACGCATGCTTTATGGAGTGTCAATGTATCATCATCATTTACCCACCAACCCGACCACAATACCAACAAACAAACAAGCACCAACAATAAAATGAAAAACACATTAATAATCATTAACTTGCATTGCAAATTGGATAATACTATTGCAGTAGGCATAAGCAATCTTAAGGGAATTCTTTCGTGTGGGGGTAAAACGTAATAAAAAGAATATTAAACGAATCAACTAAATCATTGATTAATTTTACACTAAAATTCTTAAACTCAAATGAATAATTTAATTTAATTGCTTTTCAAACAATTATTCCGTGACCCAAGTTCTGCTTCTTCTCCGTGAACTTCTACTAAAAAACGAACTAGAACCAGAAACGCTGCGGTTTAAATTAACGGAACCAAAAAAGGATAAAAAATTTCGAAAAATTCTGCGAAATCCACGTCTCTCTCTAACTCTATTGCTTCCTACTGCCAACGAGATGCTTCTAGAATCTTCGTTTGAGTTATTGCCGCCGTCCATCTCTGTGTAAACAACCGGTAACTGAATCTCACCGGCTCTCCGACCACCGGTGAATCTCCCCACGGCGAATCCACCTCCTGGTAATCTCCATATCGTCAATCCAACCGCTTCTTCGTCAGTCTGACCCGATAATCTAGTCTCCGAGGGGTTTTGGTTTTGGTTTTGATCGGAAGGTAACTCGTGGCGGCAGACCGGACACGAATTTCGCATAGAAAGCCATGGGAGAATGCAATCGGAATGGTAAAGGTGCTTGCACGGCATCTTACACGCCTCCGAACCAAGCTCGAATGCCTCTTTGCAAACCGCACAGTGCGTTTCTTCTTCTACTTCCGCGTCGGTGATATCAACAGTTGGTATTGACTCTATCGCCGCCTTCGACGCCGGCGGATTCTCCGCCCTACCAAAACCGTTGATTTCGATCTGAGAGAATTGCTCAAGCAATCGATCGAATCCGGAACCAAGCAACAACTCCGACATATTCGGCGGAAGCGGACGTAGATCGGCGCCGTTGCCGTCTTCATAATACAATTCAAAGCTACTCCCCTCGCTTTCAGCGCCACCGCCGCCGTCCTCTCTAGGTCCGCGAAGAACAATTACAGGATTAAAAGGCGATCTATTGCCAGCGTTGCGACGTCTCCGGCGGGAGGTTTGTCTCCTCGAAGAATGGATACCGTCGGCAAATAAGGAAACTGCCGGAGAGTTACCGGCGTGAATCTCTTCCACGAAACCGCTTGTACAGTGCGGACAAACGACGTCACTATGATCCAAAAGGTGAACGAAACGCGTGCAACTATAGCACCAAAACGACGCCGTGGAGGAGGGAAGCGTGTCCGAGTTCATTTAGTTTCACAATGAGTTGACTCGGATAGAAATTGAAGTTTTTTTTTGTTTTAGTTGTGAGAGGAACGATAAAGGGAGAAAGGTTGATATAAGGGGCTAAGAGAAAGAAGAAAATTTTAAACTACGCGTTTTTCAACTACAGAGCAATACTTCTCTAGTGTACTGTGTATTCACACTGTGTCTCTGCTGGAAAGTACATGGCAGTTTCTATTTTTATAGTATTTTGTATTTAATTTTATAATTAATTAAATTCCAACTTGATTGAATTTCAATAATTGAATAAGGAAATACTAATAATACATGGCAATTTCTATTTTTATAGTATTTATATTTATTATATTTATAATTAATTGAATTCTTGCTTGATTGAATTTCAATAATTGAATAAGAAAATATACTAGAAATAAATATCATGGGACCGGGATGTATGAGTTGGAAGTTGGAATTAGGATCAGGGAGGGTTAAGGGGTGATTAGGATTAGAAAGAGTTGATTGAATATTAGTAGTTGATAATAATGGACCCAGGATTAAGGGATGATTAGGATTAACTAGCGGTAATTAAAAATTAGTAGTAGTTGATGAAGGACCCCAAACCGATGGAAATTGAAATGATATACACGGGAGGGATATCAAGACGTCAATTTTGAATGCTGAAATGGAAACAGTGACGATGGGGGAGGCTCGTATAAATAAGACAAGTGTCATTGTGAGCTCATTCATTACTATCATTTACTACCTTTAAAAAAACTAATATTGCTTTTGTCATTATTTAAAGAATCAAAAGAAATCATTTTTACATGGAAAATCGAAAATGATGATGAATATATATTTTGTCAAATATTTAACTTAAGCAATATTTTAAATGAAAATTATATATTTTTTTTATAATCTAATATCTATAATAATGACATGAAATCCCTCTTTTTAAGTTAGTTTAAATAGAACGCATCTTATTTATTTTTTATTAATCAATTTTAATCAATTGATTAAGATATATTCTAACAGCATAAAACCCTAATTTCTATTAAAAAAATAAATTTTATATTGTAAGATGCTACTCAAATCGATCATGCATATTTTATGAATATTTTTAAAACTCACATCAAAACTTAAATAAATAACAAAAATTTCAATTATCTCGTCAAATTAAAATACTTAATTAAAGTAATATGATCTAATGATTAACTCAAAAATAATTAAAACATTTTGTTCTCTATATTACATATTAGAGTATTAAACTAACTAAATAGCGATAAATGATAAGAAAAATGAAGAAAAGCTCCAAGACCATCTTTCAACTCATGACAAAACTTATTTCTCCTGAGTATATGTACAACAATAAATAGAACAATACAAAACAAACAACAAAGGGGTGAGAATATGCTCAAATATATTAACAATGTATAAGAATGTAAGGGTAGTTAAAATCATACAATCAACAACATACACATTCAATTTACAACAACACAGTCATTTTATTCACATAGATTATATGCAATGCAATGTGACTCACAACTCGATTATGTGCATGTGGTACCAATTTGGACATCAGAGGTTTGTTATTGATCTCGTCCACTAAACAGTGATTCCTCATTCAAACTAGATCCCTACTTCTGAACCCTAGACGATCACAAATCCTCACTTCAAAACCCATGACTCGCCTCTTTCAACACACCAACATAATATGATGCATGACATTCAAAATAATGAAGCAACAACAACAATATTTATAGTTCCACTTCTAACCATAAAAACATGCAATACATCATTCACAATAATTCTCATTTATGAACTACTCACCTTAACACCATACATATAATCATATTTATAACACATAAGTATACAAGTCACATCACATCTCACATCAACAACATGTAATTATAACTCATCATATAATTATACAAACAAATATATAACTATATTTATCAACAAATAATTATATCGACAATTCACAACTGATACACATAAGTATAATTCACAACTTTTTAAAGTCATCATGATATTTTATCACAAAAATTGTCATTCTTTTCATCAATACATAACAACCTTCGGTTAGAACATTCCAACATTACAAACTCAACACATGACAACTATCAATTCGCGATTACATGGTTATTCGATAATCGTCTCGTAAGACTTAACACAAGTAAATATACTATTCATATTTTCATGCACATATTAAACTTCTAATTAACCATAATAAGGTAGTATTTCGCGTCAGCTACCCAACGCTTCGACCGCACCTCAAACTGAGTCACGAAACTTAAGTTATGATGAAAACAAAATCACAAGAATTTAGCCGATGAAGTGTTTTGCTACGCGAGGTGTAACGCCCCGATTCTGATTTCCAATTTTGTTGAGTCTTTTGATTTATTTGGGTGATTAATATTTTAATTGTGAAATTGATGTGTTAATATGTTATGTTTGCATATTATGCTATTTTGCCGATTTTGAGAGTTTTCGGGGAAAATAGATTGGAGGGTATTTTAGACATCTCTTATTCAATGTTAAGTTGGATATTTTGTGAGAAAATGGATTAATAGATGTTTGGAGAGAAATAGAATAGAAAGAGATATAAGTGGATTAGAGGAGAGAAAAGAAAATGATAGAAATAGAAAGAAGAGAAAAGGAAGAGAAAGAAAGAAGGAAGAAGAGAGAAGAGGAGAAAATAGAGGAGAAGCTTGGATAGCTCAAGATCAACATCTAGGATTCGATTTAATCGGGTAAGGGTGTGAAATCTTATTATTTTCTCAATGTGTATGATTATGTATGCTTTTGTTGGATTGATTTGGATTGTTGGAAAGTTTTTACTCATTTTCCATTTTTAGGTCGAAATGGTTTAATCGATAGATACCGATGTTTTAACGGTTAGAATCTGAAATAAGTGATGTGGTTTAGTCGAGGAATGTTAGGCTAAGACTATGGAAACTTTTTGGAATTGAATCGGGTGATTTTTGGACCTTGTGACATTTTCAGACAATAGAGGTTTTTGAGAGATCGCAGAGGTTCGCTAAGCGAGTAGCTAGCGAGCGAGCTGCTAGCGAGCCAGTAGCGAATGGTCCCAGACTTGGACAGAACCAAAATGACCCTTGTTCGCTGGAGCGAGCTAGGTAGCGAACACTTCCAGTAGAAAAAAGGCAGGCTTCGCTAGCACGTTCGCTAGGCGAGCCAGTAGCGAATGATCGTTATGCCTTCGCTAGACGAGTGAGCCAGCGAGCATGACATCATTGTTTTATTTCTGTTGTTTCCATCCGATGTTGATACTTTGATTTTTCAACGCATAACTTGTGTGTTGTATTATGATATGTTGTGGGTAGCCATATGGCGTGAATCCTATATTGTGGAATCAATTGCGAAACGTGGCCTTTGGCAAATATATGCATTGTTTAAATTGATTAAAGGTGCATGATGATTGTGATGGAGTTCGTTGCCATTTGGCGGGATATTGTGAATGCATATTGATTGTATGCGATTGTATGTGAAGCACGATGATGTGTATTTTTGTGCATTACTTGATAAATGTAATGATGATGTGTGAAAGTATGAATACTTAGATTATTATGAAATGTGTTGTGTGTGCAATCATGTTATAATTCTTGTGTCATGAAGTATTTGAGAACGCATGGGATTAAGATGCGAGAACGGTCTTAAGTGCATTTGTTTGTTGATTGCATACGCATCATTTGTTGTCAAGAGGCAATACTTGCTAGTTTCGTGGAGACTAGTGACTTGTCCCAAACCTAGAGTGGGGTTTGAAAGCTTAGGGAACGGGCTTTTGTTTGTTATTGGTCTAGAGGATGGACCCGGCTTAAATGTAAAAACCGAAAAATAATAACAAGTGTTGGTACCACATGGCATGAGTTGCATTGAGTTGCATCGAGTCACATGGCATAGGTATAATTGTTGTATGGAAGTATGCATATGTGTATGAATTGTTGAACTGAGAGTTATGAATTGATGAATAAACATAATTGTAAATGTTTATGTGGAAAGGAGTGAATTGTGGATGTATGCATGATGAATGTGCTTGGTGATTTTTGTAACACCCCCTTTCTATACCCCTAAATAAACAATTAAATCATTTAGGTACTTAATAAAAATTTCATCAGAGTATAAATTAACACATGGTATAAAAGAGGCACGTCACATTATCCATGAATTCAAAACACATACAACACCTGCTCATAAAGATATGCAACAGAGGGTAAATCACCACAAAGGAACTTAGTTCTTAAAACCCACATATCAATATTTAGAATAAAAGCGGAAACATCTAAACATTGAATCACTTCATTCACATAAACATTATATACATCAACAGTTTAATTCAAGTCATAAGTCATGTTTACAAAACATTCACCAGCAGATACATACACTGATGTATCACAAAAGAATCAAAACAATTCCTAACTACCCGGTGCTACATATCAGAGTCACCCGACCAAAAAGAATGAAGCCACGCTTCACAAAAGACCTCCAGCAAACCTACTCTGCAATGCCTCATAGAGCATCATAAAACAACAGAAGGGTGAGAAACATTATCATAACAAATAATGCATATAATTATATATCTATATACACCAACATAGAATACACATAACATATTTCTCACCGTAACTCATCACAATTCATCACATACCTCACAATGTATATCTACACAACTAAGCATATTCACCGATCATGCTTCACAATTCACAACATTTTCACATAAACATTAATGCTTATGTTTACTTCAACAATTCACATAAACATACACAACTATGTTCATTTCACCAATACATCATATGAAGATGATAATGCAACTCATAGAGACCGACTCACGACTCTATGTAGAGGCAAATGCGGTACCGACTCATTCAGCAGGTTCAATTGAAGAACCAAATGGAGCCATCGCTCGTTACCGAAGTAACTCCCCATCGGGCCTACGATGTTCACCCATAGCTCACACCCCACATGGGCACACGATGTTTCAGGATTGCTCACACCTCACACGGGCACAC